CTAACAGCGAGTTTCAACTTTTACTGATTTCAGGCGACAGGGGTGGAAAAGTGTTGAACTCGCGATTGTGAACCGCGAGTTAGCTCATTTTGGGAATTCTTTCAAAACTAGGCTTAGTTTGGGAATTCCCTTCTTATTTTGGCTTATTTAGGGAAATGCCCATCAGTCGAGGGCTTTGGAAGAGAGAGAAAGAGAGGGAGAGAGACCGAGCTATGGAAGATATAGAGAGAAAGTGAGAGATGGAAAGTGAGAGACGGAAAGTGGACGGTGTCAAATGTATACACCCAATACGACGCCGTTCAATTGAGCTTTAAGACAACGTTTTGGAAACGTTGTGTTTTATCCATCTATAATGGCGTTTCCTAAAACGCCATAAAAGAAACGTTGCGGTAGCCCATTTTTCCTGTAGTGTCTCTCCGGGAAATCCCACACATTCACTTTCTTGTGGTTGAAGATATCTTGCTCCGGGTGAAAAAAAAATAGTGGAAATGAAGAAGACGAGGGGTCGATGATTGTGACTTGCATTATTATCTTGGTGTCATATCATAACATTCCAAGTATATGTAATGATAGATGTGCATATTGTAGCTAAGAGTTGCAATTATTCATTTCAATATGGGGTTTGAAAATTACAACTCATAAGGTTTTTATACACATGTATTTGGCTAGGAATGAACTGTGTCATTGGATTGGCCTAGGCATTCTTGGCACTTTTGGGGTAAATAATGCTACTTGAAATAGTGCATTATGGACTTGTTTGATTGGCAGGATTATTAGTGAAGAGATTAACAATCTATGAGATTAATGTAAGGTTAGTTATTCAACTGGATTAGTGAGATACATAATTCCCTCATGTCTACATTTGTTTTGCAATATATATGTAAATGTATAATCTCAATTATGTGTATTCTTTGTGCAACAATGATTCATCCCACTAAAAACATCACCACTAATAGCACTAATGCATTAAAAAAGTAAAAAAAAAATTAAAAAAAATACAACTCCAAGACCAAAACATCACATCATTAATGGCGGGACCCACTGCCACCTAATTAGTGGGAGCACTAATTAGTGCTCCCAAGCATTTTTCATTCTTTGTGCTACTAGTTGTAGGATTAAAAAATCCATAAACTTTGTTGGATAGAATGGTCATTAGAATATAATTTAAATAATAAAATTTACAACCAAATAATGGAATGAGTCCTACGGATTAATAGTCCCAATCTTATGCTATAGTTTGCCCAATCAAACAAGTCCAATGTGTATTGGTGAGATGTAGTGGACTGATTTTGAACACGTATGGCTCATTCTAGCAAATTTGAGGTTTGAAATTTAGAGACCATTAAGAAAATAGAATCAGAATTTGATGATGGTATCAAGCACAAAATGTTGGTAATAGTTAAAAGAAAAGCAAGAAGCAGCAGCAATACAGGTAACAGATAACTTCAAATCTTTTGAGGTCACCATATCAGTAATACAGGAATGAGAGAGGATAGATTTCTATTATTTCAATAAGGTCTACTAAGGTTTGAGTTTGGTTAGGATGAAAGTGATTAAAATTGCAAAAAAAAATAAAAATAAATAAGTGAACAGTTTTTTTTTTAATTTTTAAATTTATTTGATAAAGGAACTAATGATATTTAATTAACTTGATATGTTCTACTCGACGTACCCTAATAAATAAACAGCTTGGATCATCGAAGTGGAATTCAAAATGAACATCATTTGCCACACAACAGCGGCTGATGTGCATGGCACACAACAGCCACCCCAACTCCCCCTACCAATCATCTAAAAAATTAGGAAGTGGATCGTTGAAGTTAGGAATTAGTTAATGGCCAATATCTCCCTTTCTACGATGAGGATAGATTCTTTTTATTTTAATTTTTAATTTTTGTCAATCAATGAGAGATAAATTATACAATTATCATAAGAAATACATCAAAATATTTAACTATAAAAAAAATTAATAAATAGTGACAAAAATATAACAAATCAGCAAAAACTCCAAATGGATATAAGGAGAAAAATCCACACAAAAGTAAAAATATATAAAAAGATGCAGAGAATCTTGGTCAATGGACAAACTCGGTTCCGCTTCATGAAACAAACAAAATTACTCCAAATTCTAATATCCCTACATTCCTTTAAACAGTTCTTAAAATTGCCAAATGGAGGAAACATTTTTTTCCCCATATTCTTTGGTTTCTTATTATAGTATATAATAACTTGGTACAACCAGACTTTACTTGAATGAAGGGGATTTATATTCATTCGATAGGCTATTATTTATTGCATCTCTGGACTTATTATATAAACAATCATGTTGTGCCATCTGTGGAGAGTACAACACTAGTTGTTCTCTCCTCCCAAAATTTTCTTTTGGCTTTAAGCAGCTGAACTGTAATGATATTAACTAAATATTTTTTTCAAAATCAAAGACACTCAAGATTCAAAGGGCAATACCATACAGAGATGTGAAAATTGGTGCAGTTACGCATTTTAAATATAGGAAGTCATGTAAAACAAATAAATAAAAGAAAGAAAGAAATTGGGTTCGTTTGGTTTGTATTTGTGAAAATTTTTTGAGAAATTCTCTACAAATAAGTTTTTAAAAGTAATCAAACTAAACAAATTTTCTCAAAAAAATTTCTCAAAACTTGTAAACCAAACAAGTTTTCCAAACAAATCTCTCTTTCACACACATCAAATCAATCACTTTTTTCAAAACTCTCTCTCAAAATAATTTTTCAAAACATTTTTTGAAAAAAACCAAACCAAACAACTTTTCGTACTTTTTATCTCTAAAACACATCTCTCAAACACAAACCAAACCATTATTTCTCACTCTCTCTTGAGGTCTTTCTTAAGACTTAAACTCAATAATTATTAAACATATGTGCGACAAGATGGCAAGATTACAGATACTTAAGAGAGTAGTCAGGGTGAAATGTTGGACCCTCTCGGGAGAGAGAAAAAAGGGGGGGGGGTCATTTAAAATTTTAGAAGTCAAGTTAAAGATTAGGTGGTAGGTACCAAATATATATATTTAATTTAACTGAACATATATAACTTTAGCAAAGCAGAATGTCAAAAAGATATTCATATAACCCATTTCACTTGATTTGAACACAAATCTTAATTTAGGTTGATTAAAAATGAAGTCAACTATAGCATTCAAACAAAAGGCCCTCTCACTCTCTAAACAAACTAGGAAGAGGTTCACATAGAGAAGTGTTATCTCACACTTGCAATGTCTTTTTGCTATTTGGATCAAAAATCAATATCACATATTAGTCAATGCTTGCAACTGATCCACGTGGCATCATAAGACACTATGTTAAACAAGTTGGTAATAAAATGGGCAATATATATAACTATATGCACATGGAGGTATTGAAATGGCATCTGAGAAGAAGAGAGCTTAAGTAAGTTTAGGGGTTCAATTATCATTTCTTTTTTAAGTAAACAAATTAATAATAACGGATCGGGAAGTTTTGCCTATTTGTCCATTGCATATAGTCGGATAATTTGAATATTAATTTGGCATTTCTTCTTACTCAAATTTCACATACATAAACAATTCTAATAAATCAAGTCATCTTAGAGGGAGAGAGAGATATCAATCTAACCTTAAGAGAGGGAAATTAAATTTGATATTGAATATAGATTTTGTTTTATAGATCTCTTCAGATACATTTTGCAAACATAATTTTTATGAAAATCAGATGTCTAAAACAAAAGTAATGAAATTTTGAAGTTTTGAAACAATAAAAAAATAAAATAATTACTTTACACTTTTTTTTTTTTTTTTGGATAAGTAAGCAAATATTATTAAGAAAGCATCAAGATGATGCAACCAATACAAGAAAACTAACCCAGAAAGGGGAACCAATAAAACAAGGGTTAACCAATCACCTCATCTAAAAAATCTAAAAACACAAATAAATTCGGATCTACCCTACCCTCCAACCAACTATACAAAACTAGAAGAAGACGACTTTGTAACCAAGAAACACTATGAGAAACCTCTAAGAAGGTACGTCTATTCCGCTCCAACCAAAGCAACCACATCAAACAGAACGGAGCCAATAACCAAGCTCGTCGCCACCGTCGGCCAAGACGAACGCCCCACCAAGCCCAAAGGAAATCCAACACCCCCTGCAGTTGAACCCAAGCAAGCCCAAAAAGTGAACAAACAAAGCCCCACAAACACGAAGCCACCGAGCAATGGAGAAACAAATGATTCACTGTCTCCGCATCCTCGCAACCCATATAACACCGATTCACTAGGATGTGCTCCCGCTACATCGAATTATCCAAAGTAAGATTCCGACCTAATGCTACCATCCACATGAAAAAGACAACCTTAGTCGGAACCCCTGGAACCCAAACACTTGTCCAAGGAAAGACCCGACCATCATCCCCTATCAACCCCCAATAAAATGATGCTACTGTGAACCGACCCTTTGCCTCCAGCCCAGTCAGCACCAAGACATCTGGGCCCACCCTGACCGTCCCCAAACCATATAAAAGCCCCACAACTCTACCAACTGAACGACTTCCCAATCATGAACCTCCCACCGTAATTGAATATCCCAAACCACCACACCCCCACCATCCAAATAGGAAGCCACCAATGCATCTTGATCTGTCGCAATATTAAAAATCAAAGGGAAACGAGTCTCCAACACAAACTCCCCACACCACTTATCTTTCCAGAACCGCACTCTGCTCCCCTCCCTCACCTTAAACCCTATCCACTTCCAAAACTCCACTCTCTCCAACTAAATCGCTTTCCATAACCCACACCTATAAGTACAGGACACAGACCCAGAAACCTAACCCCCTCTGCCCAGCCCATATTTAGATGCCACCACTTGCTGCCACAATCTGTGAGGCTCTAAAGAAAAACGCTAGAGCCACTTCCCTAACAAGGCTCGATTAAAAGTCACCAACCGCCGCACCCCCAGCCCTCCAACTTGCTTGGGTTGACAAACCTATCCCCAATCAACCAAATGATACTGAAAATTATCACCACCGCTTCCCCACAAGAAGTCCCTCTGAAGCTTCTCCAACCAATGCGCCACTAACACTGGAATAACATGGACCGACATGAAATAAGTGGGGATACTACTCAACACATTCTTAAACATAGTCAACCGGCCGCCTTTCAAAAGATATTGGCACTTCCAACTTGCCAATCGACGTTGGACCCGTTCCACAACTCCGTCCCACACCCCTTTTGCCTTAAAAGAAGCCCCTAACGGCAAACCCAAATAGGACACTGGCAAAATCGAGACCTTACACCCCAACACTGCTGCCATAACAGGTAACCTTGCCACCGTCCTAACTAGAATAAGTTCTGACTTCCGTAAGTTAACCCGAAGGCTCGAAATCATCTCAAAACAAAGCAAAACACATCGCAGATAGCCAACATGCACTACTTCCGCACCATAGAAAATCAAAGCATCATCCGCATATAACAAATGCGAAACCTCCAAAAGAGTCCCCGCCAATGAACCCACAACAAAACCTTCCAATCGACCTTCTCGCATAGCTTTATCCAACAATCTACTCAACGCCTCTATCACTAAGAGAAATAGTAGGGGAAACAAAGGGTCCCCCTGCCGAAGACCTCGATGTGTCCAAAAGAAACCCACCGGAGTCCCATTAATCAACACCGACATCCGCACAGTCGAGATACAGAACTTGATCCACAGACACCAAGTTGCCCCAAAGCCCATACGATCCAGTACATGCAACAGAAACTCTCAATTAACATTGGCATACACCTTCTCAATACCCAATTTGCAAATCAAACCAGGGCGCCCCGACGAATCCGAGAATCCACACATTCATTAGTAACCAATGCTGCATCTAGGATCTGCCTCCCCCTAACAAACGCATTCTGAGATTTAGACACCACAGTCGATAAAAATTCTCGCAGACGATTTTCTTCACATTTTTGCACACAACCTCCTATCCAAATTGGACTACCTTGTTGCTGAGGTACTTGGAAGCCTTATTTGAGTTCTAAAAGTTGGTTTTGGCTCAAAGAAGTTGCTATTATTCCTGTGCTTCAAGGGTGAGTCCCATATCCTCTTTAAAGCTTTATTTTCATTGCTTATTTGGCCATCCTTGCATGCTGTTTTAGGCCTAACTTGCAACTACAAAAAATTTTGTTTTTAAGTGTTAAAAATGGTTGTCTAAGGCCTTGTTTGAGTTAGGGTTGGTCTACTCCCTTTTGTGGCTTATTTTGCTTTGCTTTGTGCTATCTTTTAAAGCCTTTGAGGTCACCTTTGTTTGGCCTTTTCACCACTGAATTCTAGAGGAATTTCAGTGGTGGAAAGTGTGTTTTGGGACCCAAAATAGGTGGGGGTGGTCCCCCTCCTCTGTACCTTGTTTGCATGTGTTGATGGCCTACCAAATGAGCATGTGTTTCTACTTCTTTGTGGCTTTGTTCAAGCATATTTTTGTGACTTTTTAGACCTTTCATAACTCTATTTTTGGCTTGTTTGATCATTGGTTGCTTGCTCTTTGCACTTGTAGTGCAATCTCGCTCATTATCCTTGCATGCTTAGTGTTTTGGCCTATTGTTCTAGCTTGTTTTAGATATTTCAGAATGCATTTGGCCATGATTTAGCATGCTTAAACTCTGTTCCAAGCGGTCTTGGTCATGTATGGCTTGTCTTGTATGGCTATAGCATGATAGGCTTTCATAGTCTTGTGTTTTGAGTCCACTAGCATGCTTTGCTTGGGTTGTTTGTATGATATGACATCATTTGATATATGATTTCAGAGCATGTTTCACTGTCATACTCTCATATGTATCGCTCTTTTAATGCTTTTGAGAAGTTGAGCATCATGCCTTGTTTGTGGGCCAATGCTTGAGCATATTTTTCTTACCATCTATGCTATGAGTCTAGCATGTTTTTGTTACTATTGCGACCTACCTTAGGTCTGTTTTGAATGGTTAAGGTCATTTGAGCATTTCTTAGTATGGTTGTAGTGTAAAAGGCCTTGACTAGCTTTGAGTTTTGGGGTCTTTAACATGTTGTGCATGTAATTTTTGTATGATATGGCACCATTTGACATGTAATTTCAGTGCATTTGGTGTAGTCACACTCTCATTTACTTCACTTCTTCATAGCTTTTGAGGGTTGTGTATTACGCCTTGCTCATAGGTCAACACATGAGCATGCTTCTCTTACTTCTTGTGCCTAAGTTTCAACATGATTAGGCCACTATTTTGGCATGTTTAACCTCTGTCCGGGGTTGGTTTGGTCATTTGTGCTCGGTATTGCATGCCTTTAGTATTATGCTCTTTTCTTGCTTCAATGCTTTCGACTCCAAGCATGTCTTGCATGCATCATTTTTATGATTTGATGTCATTTAGCATCCTATTTCAGTGCTGGAATATGGGCCATTTCATCCCATACTTTGTTTGTTATATCACTTTGAAAGAAGTCTTAAGCCCCTTGTTGGTTTAAGCACGAAATTGAGGCGTTCATGCCTAATGGTTTTAGCCTTCTCTTGAGGGTTTCTACTAACCAACGGCATGATGCTTTTTTCATGCGCAAGACGCTTGTGGCTTGGTCCATCTTTCCCATGAGAGGACTTCTCACCATTGGACTTAACCGGTTAAAGGATTAATCGGTAATCTAAAACGAGTAAAACAAAATGAATCAAAGTAAAACATGCCAAGATAACATGTTTGTGTTGTATTGCATGTGTTTGGATCAGACGTTAATCCAAACACAAGAAACGAGGGGCGTTTCATACTTGAAGTGATGAAATGTGCCTCATTTCTTAGTCACCGACATCCTTGATTGTGCATGATAGGGTGGAGGGTCATCGAGTCTTACTTGTGCATTCATTAACGTGCACACACTTGGCTTCTCGGCCATCATGCATTGCGATGCTTGGTTGATGGCTCGAGAGTCGAGTACCACACTCCTTTGAGCTTGAGAAATGATAAGGAGGGTGGTTGTACACACATACCCTGCAAATACCTTGCTTTGCCTCTGTTGTACTCTATTTGCAGCAAAATTGGAGTGTGTAGGAGCAAGTGGCCGACCGCCAATGGAAGTGGCCTACAGCCTCCTTAAGTGGCCGACAGTTCTCAGGCTCAGAGGTGGTCCAAAGTTATTCTGGTTCTGGAGCAGAAACAGCCTGGACATTAGTTCGGTGTTCAGGAATCAAGGTGAATGCAAACAGAGGCAACCGGTGGCAAAGTGAAGGATTTTCGGGAGGACGCAACCGAGCATGCATGTCTCCCTCGCTTGTGAGGCCACTTTATTGCTTTGCTAGCTAGTTGTAGTTAATTAAATACACGTGATGTAATTAATTAGTTTGATTCACTTTGTAATATTTTAATTAGCTTAGATTAGCGAGTTATTCAATTTGGTTTGTAATATTTAATTAGCTAGAATAGTTAGTTAAATATCGGTTTGTAATAAGTAGCTTAGCTTAGATTAGCTTAGCCTATTTATTCAGACCCTCCGTCAAGAGGGCAAATGTTGTAATAAGGGTGCGTGTGCGTGTGTGTGTGCATGTCTTCCAACCCCACGTCTTTCTCCCTTTTATTTATCTGCTTTCGATGGTTAGATTAGGAATCATTTTCAATTAGCATTCCTTATGCTTGTATGTTTGCATCAAACTGTATCGTATTTCAATACTTCTTTGAATACATGTATCAAATTGTCGCATTCATATGTCATGATTAGATAGCCGAGCCTACTTAGTTGCATTTTTGCATGTGTTGCATTAGGCATCTTAACATAGCTAGGAGCATGCATTATTTTCTAACTAGCTTTTGTTTTGGCACGGAGTACACTGTAAGTATTTACACTTTAGCATCCTTGCATGTGTGTAAGTGATTGCCATGATAGCCATGAGGCTATTTGCTTAAGTGATTAACTGCATGAATGCCTGTGGATGGAGGCTTTATTACTTGAATTGGAACAATTAATCAAAATGTGAGTTTTAAGCCCACTTTGGAAGTGGCAAATCGTCATGTTTTAAGCCCACTTGAGGGTGGCAAATCCGCGCTTTAGCCTACTTGAAGGTAGCAAATTCAAACCATTTTCGAAAAACAAACATGAGATGTTTTGTTCCAAATTGAGTGATTTAGTCTATACTTGTATGCTATGTGCATCACATAGTAATGTTAGATTAATAACCGGAACAAGAACACATGTGTTTACACAACAACATATCATGCTTAGTAGAGGCCGATCCTTTGATTGGGCGAACGGGGGTGCTCATTTCAGGACCTTCCCCCCTCATACCCAAGTTCCCGAGTTGAGAAAACTTTGGTGATGACGGACACGTGGCCTTAGGCATGAGTCAGGGTTTCCTAAATTTCCCAAAATAAAACATTTAGGTGGCGACTCTGAAATCTGGCAAAGTAGTCCATGTTTGACGCTTTTGATTCAAAATTGATTTTTTCAAAACCAATTGCCGGATTTGGACTCTTTGGTGATTTATCAATCTTACATTACACTTTGTGAGATTAGATTCAGAACCATGATAGGAGTCTGAACTGTAGTAGCTAGAACCCAATTCGCGCCCTCTCCGAAAGAGGGGCGCGCGGAGCGAGTTCAGGCAGTCTACAAGTAGGCAGCCCATCTTGCACCCCTAGCTCATCCAAGGATTGAAGTAAAGACACCACCGCAACTTTTTGGCCCTCTAGCCGACCAAACACCTCCTTATTCCAAGTTTTTAAGGCCGTTTTCAACATCTTTAATTTTTGAGCCAACACACAACTAGGAGAACCACGAACCACATAGTTATTCCACTATCTATGAACCAACTCTAGAAAACCCTGTTGTTGCAACCACATATTCTCAAAACGAAATGGCATAGGACCACGTCAGATCCCCCCACTGTCCAGCAAAATGGGCCAATGATCAAACACATGTCGAGGTAAACGAATCTGAGCCACCTCAGAAAAGTGCTCCTTCCAGCCCACAGTAACCAAGAACCGATCAATTCGAGACAAACTCCGGCCATTTGACTATGTGAAGCTCCCCCCTGGATAGGTAAATCAACCAATTGTAAATCATCAATGAAAAAATAGAAAGCCCGCATTGCCCCTGAGCTCCTCGCATTCCTCGCCTTCTTCGATGGCCAACAAACAACATTAAAATCACCCCCTACACACTAGGGGACATCCTAGCGAAAGGCTATGTTCTCCATCTCCTCCAAGAATGGACCTCGCTCTGAATTCTGCATAGGCCCATAGAGCCCAGTAAAACCCCACTGGAAATTGTCCTCCACACAACGGAATAAACATGATACATAAAATCCTCCTACCTCCTCCTCCTCCATCACCACTACCCTCTTATCCCAACAGAGAAGAACCCCACCTGTCGTGGCTAAAGAGGGCAAAAAGGTCCACTGCACAAACTTCCCCCCCACACTTCACGAATCAGCTCCACCCCCACCACTTCTATCTTCGCTTCTTGTAAACATACAATGTCCGTTTGAGCACTCCGTAACACTGCTGTCACCGTCACCGTCACCGTCACCTTCTTGTCCTTATCATTACATTCCACGATACAATTTTGAATTTCATTTCGACAACAATGGGCCCCTCCGGTCTCTCGTTTCACCACATCCTACGTTCCTCACACCATGATCATAATTCACAACATATTCCAAATTTTTGAGCTCCCGATTACCT